CAGTTAGGAAAACTTTTCTGTGGTCCAGGAGTTATCCCTTGTAGGTTGGGCATAGCTTGGGAGTTTCTTTTTGTCTTAGGGGACTCTACCAAATCTCTGGGAGCTACTCTCCACAGAGATGGGATACATAAGCCCAGACAGTTTATGCAAACCTGATAACACCATATTTCATCTATTGCCCATGCATTTGCAAAGTATCAAAAATTAAACAAATTAAGTCTTTTTTTCTCAGTTTAATACAAAAGAGAATATACAGTTTGTCTTTAATTGCTAGAATTAATCATAAAAAAAATACTGTGGAACATGCTAAACTAATTGTCTAATAGCTACAGATTCAGAGCACTCGTTGACAGTACCACCAGAGTAGAAGAGTCAAAAGCATAGGTGATAGTTTTTTTTGGAGGTTAAAAAATTTACATAATGAATCAAACATTACTATTTTAACATTTATAGTAAATTGGCATTGGCATATTCAATATTGTACAACCATCACCTCTGTCTACTTCCAACACATTTTCATCACTCTAAAAGGAAAGCTCATACCCATTCAGCAGTCATCTGCCATTTCCCTCTCCCCACTCTCTGGCAACCCCTAGTCTCATTTACTAATTCTAAATGTTTCATATAAATCATATTACATGACCTTTGTGATATGAAGTAGAGGGTGGGGGATTTCATGATTTTTTTTTCCCATTCTATTGTTGCAGCATCATTTATTGAAAAATTTTCTGTTAATTTGCCTTAACATCTTTGTTGAAAGTCAGTTGACTAATAAGTGTGGATCTATTTCTTGACTTTCTTTTCTGATTGATTGACCTGTTATATTAATATCATACTAACTTCATTATTACTCTTATATACGGTCTTTTTTTTTAAAGATTTTATTTATTTATTTGAGAGAGAGTTACAGACAATGAGAGGAAGAGACAGAGAGAAAGGTCTTCCTTCCTTTGGTTCACTCCCCAAATGGCCGCAATGGCAGGAGCTGTGCCAATCCGAAGCCAGGAGCCAGGAGCCTCTTCTGGGTCTCCCACACAGGTGCAGGGGCCCAAGGACTTGGGCCATCTTCCACTGCTTTTGCAGACCATAGCAGAGAGCTAGGTTGGAAGAGGAGCATCTGGGACTAGAACCAGCACCCATATGGGATGCCGGTGCCCTAGATGGAGGATTAACCTACTGTACCACAGCACTGGCCCCAATATATGCTAAGTCTTGCAGTCAGGTAGTTGTAGGTCCTTCAAGTTTTCCTTCTTTTAATGAGATTGTTTTAGCTATTCCAGATCCCTTCCTTTTCTGTATAAATTTGCATCCATTTGTCAATTTCCAGTTAAAAAACAGTCCTTTTCAGATTTTGATATAAATTGAGTAAAATCTGTAGTTTAGTTTAGGGGTTGCCTCCTAAACCAAATTGAGTCAAATAATCTGTGGACATGAAATAGCTCCCCATTTATTCAGTTCCCTATGTTTTTAGGACTTTAGTTTATCTTAGAAGTGTTTGTTTTGTTTTAGTTTTCAGTGTCTTACATTTATTTTTGAGCATTTTAAATTACCTGATGCTAATACAAATGGTCTCTCCATTTTTTTCATGAACTTCTTGGCATTCTCTTGTACTTACCTCTACAGTTCGTTTACTTTGTTCTTTTATTTATTCACTGATTTATTTAAAGTTGTGCTTTTAAATTTATTTGTTTCTTTTTTATTATTTGAAAGGCAAGGAGCCAGAGAGAGACAAATAGAGATAGATCTTCCATCTGCTGGTTCATTCCTCAAATACCTGTGACAGCCAGACATAAGCCAGATTGAAGCTATCAGCCTGGAACTCCATCTGTACCTCCTGTGCTGTGGACTGAGATACCAAATAACTTATAAGCATTAGTCAATTGTGTAATAAAAAGGATTTATGGCATCTTGCTATAAGCATAATGCCAGCACTCAAAGATTGTTTGCTAAATATTTCTGACATACCTGCTGTTTTCAAGGTAGTAGAGATGTTATAATATATCATATATAGACCTTGTACTCAGTAGATTAATATCTAACCTGGATGGACACATGTAAAACTACCTTATAATAATTATTATATTAGCAATTTTTTTAAACATTTATTTATTCATTTGAAAGATAGAGTTCCAGAGAGACAGAGGCAGAGAGAGAGAGGTCTTTCATCCGCTGGTTCACTCCTCAGATGGCCGCAAGGGCTAGAGCTGTGCCAGTCTGAAGCCAGGAGCTTCTTCCAGGTCTCCCACGCGGGTGCTGTGGCCCAAAGACTTGGGAGATCTGCTGTTTTTCCAGGCCATAGCAGAGAGCTGGTTTGGAAGTGGAGCAGCCGGGACACAAACCGCTGCCCACATGTGATGCCAGCACTGCAGGCAGAGGCTTCACCTGCTACACCACAGTGCTGGCCCCAATATATTAGCAATTTGAACAGCATACTAGGAAGAACACAGATGAAAGAAAATTGAACTATTAGTAAATACTATTTTGTATGCTCAGGGTTTTCATCTTCCTAGCTGGTTGCTAAATTTTGAATAGTTGATATTGCTCAATAACTGAGTTACAAGAAGAAAATTAGAGAACATACATAAAACCCATTTTTATAAACATATATATCCTAGGTTTAAAGTTATAAATTTTTTTTTTTGACAGGCAGAGTGGACAGTGAGAGAGAGAGACAGAGAGAAAGGTCTTCCTTTACCGTTGGTTCACCCTCCAGTGGCCGCTGCCTGGCCGACGCACTGCGCTGATCCGAAGCCAGGAGCCAGGTGCTTCTCCTGGTCTCCCATGGGGTGCAGAGCCCAAGGACTTGGGCCATCCTCCACTGCACTCCCTGGCCACAGCAGAGAGCTGGCCTGGAAGAGGGGCAACCGGGACAGAATCCGGTGCCCCAACTGGGACTAGAACCCAGTATGCTGGCGCCGCTAGGCGGAGGATTAGCCTATTGAGCTGTGGCGCCAGCCTAAAGTTATAAATTTAACATTTTTTTCTATGTATGTCTTTTGTCTAAAGCTTAATTCTGTTGCCATCAGGTGGCAGTCATACTGTAGTTATGACTACATAATACTTCAGTTAGTGGGATTGTTAATTACACATTGCCACAGTGTGGTTAATATGAGAGAGTTTTGGAGAACATTATATGGGTGTATAGAAGAAAAGAAAGATTTCTAATAACAGCAAGTTGAAATGCAGAAGAGAAAAATAGTTTGGAGCACAAGATTTGGAGTTTTTCAAATTTTTTTTAATCTCAGCCTGATCACTTACTAGCTTTGTTATCTTGGCTAAGTAATTAACCTCTTTTTGTTTTAGTTTTCCTCACTTTATTAAATGATGATAATATCTATTTCATAGAATTTTCTGTGATTTAAATCAAAGAATGAAAATAAAGCTCTTTGCATAAATCCTAGTAGGTTGGATATTTGTAGAGAATGATCAATTGTGCTAGGAATTAGAGATGGTAGGGAGAGATGCAACTGCAACTAGCCAGTTCTGCAGGCCCAGCTGCAACTGCAGGAATCCAGGTAACACATAGATACTTGTCTTCATGCTTTACAGCATCCAAGATAAACATCTCCGGTAGATAGATAGATAGACAGACAGACAGTTATTTTTCCTCATTCTCTTAGTGTTGGAAAGAAAAAAGAGGCCATTGGATACCACTTAAAAACAAAGACATAGGTGACATCTCTTCTTAATTGTTCATTCTTCCCTCTTACTACCTAGACCCAGGGTCATCTGTTTAGGGAAATAAGTTTAACTTGTAAATCAAAAATTCATCTGACTGGATTTTGATTATGATTAAAATAGATCTCTGATTCATTGTGCATTTAAATTTAGATCCCTAAATCATAGTTTTCTTTAGAAATGAATCTTAAATGTAATACAATTTCTTTTTTAAGATTGATTTATTTACTTTGAAGGTCAAAATTAAAGGGAGAGAGAGCAAGCTTCCATCTGCCAGTTTACTCCCCAGATGGCCACAACAACCAGGGCTGGGCCAGGCCAAAGCCAGGAACCAGGAGCTTCATCCAGGTCTCCCACATGGGTGGCAGGGGAACAAACACTTGGGCCATCCTCTGCTGCTCTTTCCAGGCTATTAGCTGGGAGCTGGATCAGAAGTGGAGTACCCGGACCATGAACCCCTGCCCATAGGGCATGTCAGCATTGCTGCTGGCAGCTTTCCCCACTACACCTCCGCGACAGCCCCCAATGTTATATAATTCCAGTATCGTTTCTGTTGCCTAACTGTTGCTTAATAATACCCCAACAGCTGACAAAACCTTTACTTTTATTATTAAAATGAACAGATCAAAATATAAGTATATTGGAAGAAATATTCAGCTAAGTTCAGTATGTATTTACCAAGCACTTATGTCCATACATGGCATGTAATATGTTTTGAGGGTTACAGAGGTCATCAAAACATAGCTCCAACTCTAAAGAGGTTACACTTTAGGAGGGGAGATGACCTGCATAAACAGTTGTTCTAAAGTGAAAGGTGGTAAATGCTATTATAATGCAGTTATAATAGCTTTTATTTAAGTACATTTTCTAGATTATAAACTTCTACCACATACATTATCTTGTTTGTTCTTCACAATAAGCCTATATGTTACCCATAATTAGAAAAGTAATCACTAGTAAGTCTGTCAATTCAACTGGCCTTGAATACCTAGCACGTGGCATTTTAGAAGTTAGCCACCTGGTAGCTAGAAGATTTTATCATGATTTCCCATGTCATAGACACTGTTCTAGGTAAGAAAACACAATCTCTGTCTTCAAGAAAGATAAATGAGATCCAGACTATAAACCTAAATACCTCATTCTAGATTCTGTTGTTCCTTTTATTCCATGTAATACAAAAATACAGTGTTTAATTCTCACTGAGGTAGTTATAGAAGCCCTAATGGAATAGGGGTGTTTTTTTTTTTTCTCTTAACCATATTATGCCAAATTGACTTTTAAAATATACCATGTTATTAATATTCCCTTTTGGAATTTTTTAGGTACGCAGGTTCTCTGAGGCATTCTTTTGTTTTGAACATCCAAGAGAAGCTGCCATTGCATACCAGGAACTTCAGTGAGTAACATAAATACAAAATTTAAATTATTTAATTCTTTTTTTATATAATATACCTATCAAAATGTATTGGTCACAAAATATACAGAATTTACAGTAGAAGAAATTAGGAGAATTTGAAGTTCCTGAAAGCCTCTCTTAATCAAGTTGTGATTTAATTACTTAATGAATCTCCCATATTTTATAAAGAAGCTTAATGAGATATACCCTACCAATCCCCTCCCCTTATATCAACTCTCCTATAATTTTGGTGTAGTACCTTACAGCTTTGGCTCCAGCCTTCCAGTTGGCCATCTTGTCTTTTTTTTTTTTTTTTTATTTATTTGAAAGGCAGAGATACATAGGGAAAGAGAGAAAAATCTTCCATCCGCTGGTCACTCCCCAAATGGCCACAATGGCTGGGGCTGCCAGGAGCCCAGAGCTTCCTCCAGGTCTCCCCACATGGGTGGCATGGACCCAAGGACTTGGACAATCTTCCACTGCTTTCCCAGGCACATTAGCAGGAAGCTGGATCAGAAGTGGAGCAGTCAGAAATTGAACCAGTACCCATATGGGGTGCTGGCACTGCTGGCAGCTGCTTAACCTACTACGCCACAGCGCCAAACCCAAGGCCATCTTGTTCTGCATTTAAAAATATTTTCACAGGTCAGAATCTCTTATATTCATTATCTTTATTACAGATTTTCACAGGTAGGCTGACCAGCAACTTCCCTTCATTATGTAAATGATTTATGATTAAAATGTATAGAATAAATGCCTTCTCGCTTTCCCACTGAATATATTTAGATGTGGTATTCTTTGACTTTAAAGAAGATTTTAAGGATCTTACACTGAATAAAAGAACCAAGACATATAAAAGAGTGAATATTGTATGTTTCTATATATATGAAGTTCTAGAACAGGCAAAACTAAGGTGAAAAAAATCAGAACAGTGGTTGTCTAGGGTTGATTTGGGCTGGAGATTGAGAAGACTTCAGGGAACCTTGAGTAGAAGGAATTGTGCTGTGTCTTGTGTCTGTCAAAATCACATAGCTAACATTTATATGTTTCATGCATATAAATTATACCTCAAAAAAAAAAACTGTAGATAATTGTAGAGTATGGATATAGGTAGTGAGTGCTAAGGTATAGATAAAACAAGAAAGGCAATTTAATTGTTGGAACTGGCTGATGGCTACATGAGTTTTTTATACTCTTCTGTTTACTTTGATTTGTTGAAATTTTCATGGAAAGGGGCTTTAAAAAAACTGGAAAGTTTATGCAGCTTATTTTAAGTAGCTGTTAATTTTATCCATTAATATATGTTCAGTAGAACAGTAGCACTGGAGCACTTTTTTTTTTTTTTTTTTTACTGCACTATCAAATTATTAGTAAGCATTTGGGCTTCTGGTATTTTTCCTGTGTGCTCTTCATATTAAATATGAAGTTCAAACATTAAGAATAGGTGCTCACTTGGAAGTAATATAAGAACTTATAAAAGAATATAATGGAAATTAAATAATTCATCCACAAGCTATCATTTTGTTGTTAACAAATCATAATTTTTATTTTACCAGTTTTTTTTTCTTTGACTAAGTAGTTATTTTATGATGAGGTTACATCTTGAGGAGGAGGAATAGCAATGGTTGGGGAAGAGAGAGGGGTAATATGTAAAATGGAGCTGAGTATAATTTTTTTCATTACAATCTGACTTAAGAAATATTTTTCAGTGCTCAGAGTCATCTACAGATGTGCACCGCTATCAAAAATACTTCCTTCTGCAGTTCTCTTCCACCCCTACCTATTGAATGTAGTGAATTAGATGGAGATCTCAATTCATTACCTATAATCTTTGAAGATAGGTATTTAGATTCAGTTATTGAAGGTAAGTATAATCTAAAATATACAAGCTTTGTGTACAATTTTCAGTATATTCTTCCTAATAGCCATACAACCATTCCCTAATATGAAACAATTTTCCCCACTAGTGTTACTTATTTTTGAGGAAATTATTAGAAAGTTATAGTCAGAAAAAGTAGTCTTAATCGTATGAGTTCTCACATTTTGTTTTAAACCTGAATCTTTTTTTCTTTGGATAAAAGACTTAGATGCACCTTGGATGGGAATTCAGAGTCTTCAGAGATCAGAATCCAGTAGAATGGATAAATATGAAACTGAAGAAAGCTCTGTAGCAGGACTTTCTAGCCCAGAGTTGAAAGTCAAATCTGCTGGTGCCTCCACTATTTGGTATACAGAAGGTGAAAAGCAGCTAACAAAATCTCTAAAAGGAAAGAATGAAGAATCAATTAAGTCCAAGGTTAAGGTTACTAAGCTCATGAAAACAATGAAACCCGAAAACACAAAAAAATTAATAAAACAGAACTCTAAGGATTCTGTGGTTTTGGTAGGCTACAAATGTTTGAAAAGTACAGCATCCAATGATCTCACTAAATGCTTTGAAGGCAATCCTTCGCATAGTCAGAAGGAAGGTCTGGATCCCACAATATGTGGATATAATTTTGACCCAAAGACCTACAGCAGAGAGACAAGTCAAAAGGAAGCTAGCTATTTGCCAACTAATACAGAGGCAACTGAACAAAAGTCTCCAGATACTGAAAATATGCAACCAGACCAGTTTGATCCTTTGAACTCTGGCAGCCTAAATCTTTGTGCAAATTTGTCCATTTCAGGTAAACTTGATATCTCCCATGATGATAGTGAAATTACACACATGGAACATAATCTGGCATTCAGAAGTTCATCAGACGATTGCCATGATCATCAAACAACTCCATCTTCAGGAGCTAGAACAACTGAAGTAAAGCCTTATAATAAGGATCCTTTAAGTGGAGAGAGAATAACTGTTAAAATAGGACCTTGGACAGAGCTTCAGCAAGATGAAATATCTGTGGATAATTCCCTACCCAACTTTGAGTCCTTACAATCTGATAGTAAATCTAAGTCTGTAGAAATAACAGTGGAAAAAGAAGGTTTGCAAGAAGCTAAGTGCCCTTCTATTGGAGACTCATTAAGTAAATTAAGAAGTAATCTGCCTGCTGCTTCTACAAAAGAGTATCATGTGGTAGTCAGTGGAGACACAATTAAATTACCAGATAATGTCACATATGCCTCATCTAGATTTTCAGATTCAGGTATTGAAAGTGAACCAAGTTCTTTTGCAACACATCCAAACCCTGATGTAGTCTCTGAAACTGTACAGGGACAAAGTCCTTACAATAATGAAAGATTATTTCCTCAGCTTTTGATGAAACCTGATTATAACGTAAAATTTTCATTAGGAAGTCATTGCACTGAGAGTACAAGTGCTTTAAGTGAAATACAGTCATCTTTGACATCCATAAACTCTTTACCTTCTGATGATGAACTGTCACCTGATGAAAATTCTAAGAAATCTGTTGTACCTGAGTGCCATCTAAGTGATAGCAAAACTGTTTTAAATCTAGGAACAATCGATTTGCCAAAATGTGATGACACTAAAAAATCAAGTATTATTTTGCAACAGCAGAGTGTTGTATTTTCAGGGCATTTGGACAATGAAACTTTAGCAATACATTCCTTAAATTCAAGCACTAAAGACGCTTTACAATTTGTTTTTCCAGATAAAGATACTTCCAGTGATGTGAAAAGTAGTTGCAGCTGCAGACCCAACTCGGACACTAGGTTTGAAGGCTCCCAGAGTCCTGATAAATCTGATGACTCTGCAGGGACAGCAATCACATTAAATCCAAAACTGATTTGTGTAGGCACCCCCTGTGTTGTTTCAGGTTCTGTTTCTACTAACACAGAAGTTAGTGAAGTTAGAAGAAAAAATAGTCACGATTTAAATCGTAAACAGATATTTTTGGAAGCCTCTGCAGTTGAAAGTGAAACTCATCTGAGTATGAGTGACCCCAGTACTGATGTGGTAAAGCAAGGGCTTGTGGAAAATTATTTTGGTTCTCAAAGCAGTACGGATTTTTCTGACACGTGTGCTGTTAGCTACAGCAGTTCAGTTAGTCCTCAGAAGGAAACTTCTGAAAAAGAAATTAGCAATCTTCAGCACATGCAGGGAAAAGAAGATGAGGAGGAAGAGCAGGATCAACAAATGGTCCAAAATGGGTATTATGAAGAAACAGATTATTCAGCTTTGGATGGAACAATAAATGCTCATTATGCAAGCAGAGATGCAGAAGAAAGACTTACAAAATCTGAAAAAATAACGAGTGACTATCTGAGGGATGGTATAAATATGCCTACCGTCTGCACTTCTGGTTGTTTGTCCTTCCCATCTGCACCACGTGAGTCTCCTTGTAGTGTTAAATATTCCTCTAGAAGTAAACCTGATGCCATTACAAAGCAGCCAAGCAGCACTTCTTACAACTCCACTTCTTCGATTTCCTGGTATGAAAATGCACCAAAACCTCAAATACAGGCGTAAGTAAAGGAGCACAGTAGCATGTGCTACTGTAATGCTGAAGGGTTGAGTGTCTGTGTTCTCCAGTTTCTACAATACCAAAAGCATTCTCTGATTAGCACTTCTTTATTACAGAAAATCTAGAAATGAATGCATTGCATCATTTCACAGATAGATCTCTAGTTCACAAATGATTGCCCTATTCTGTAGTCTATACATTCCTCATACAAATCTTCCATTGGTCATTTTGTGTTTGAAATATGGAATAATTGAGATTAGAAATTTGTTTTTTCATCAGTAACTCATTTCTCCTCCAGTAACTCCCAGATAAAAGTTTTATGAGTACACCTAGGAAAATATACCTATATACATGAAGAACAGGTTAGTAGAAACCTCTTAAATCTGCCCTACCTTAATTGCCTCAGCTAAGTTAGTGATGTCCAGAATTAAAATTTTATGAACCAGTAAAATATCTAGAAAAACTGAGGGATTATATAGATTTTCTAGGCTTATAGCAGGTACTGGTCCTCAGAATATCTACTGCCTCAGCCCAGATTGTCTGGGCATGTGTACAATGGAGTTTTAAATTAATTTATTATTTAAATTCCCAATTATTCTGATTTATACATAAAATTAATATCTGTAAAGAATAAAGCTAGTGAAGCCAGTGAGGCAACAATGGCCAACTAGAACTTGTAATATACTGGGAAGCTGAAGGGTGTTCCACCTTTTGGGTGCCTCTAACTTTCTGTGACTCCTCGGAAACCAATGACTGCATGTCTTCTCCCGATGTATCCTACTCAGTATAGTGCTCATCAGGCTCTGAGTTGTTCTTTTGTCATTGAAAATGATAACAGTTGTCCCCTGACTTATAACTCATTAAGTGATCTCACATATTTTCTTGATTTTAAAACCAAATATTACTAGGTTCCTCCTCTGTAGATCTCTACATTTTGTGTTCTAAAAACTGAATATAATCTTTTTTTTTTTTTTAACTTTTATTTAATGCATATAATTTTCCAAAGTACGACTTATGGATTACAATGGCTTCTCCCCCATACCGTCCCTCCCACCCACAACCCTCCCCTTTCCCACTCCCTCTCCCCTTCCATTCACATCATGATTCATTTTCGATTATCTTAATATACAGAAGATCAGCTTAGTATACATTAAGTATGGATTTCAACAGTTTGCTCCCACACAGAAACATAAAGTGAAAAATAATAGATGATTTTTTTAAATGATGATGAAATCAGAGCAGACCTATTGTCATGTTTAATCCCAGTGAGAGTCAAGTTGGGAATTGATAATTTCTTTTTTTTTTTTTTTCTTTTTTTTCTTTTTTTTTTTTTTTTTACAGAGGATCAGTTTAGTATGCATTAAGTAAGGATTTTAACAGTTTGCACCCCCATAGAAACACAAAGTGAAATATATTGTTTGAGTACTCGTTATAGCATTAAATCTCAATGTACAGCACATTAAGGACAGAGATCCTACATGAGGAGTAAGTGCACAGTGACTCCTGTTGTTGACTTTACCAATTGACACTCCCGTCTATGGCATCAGTAATCTCCCTATGCTCCAGTCATGAGTTTCCAAGGCTATGGAAGCCCTCTGAGTTCTCCGACTCTTATCTTGTTTAGACAAGGTCATAGTCAAAGTGGAGGTTCTCTCCTCCCTTCAGAGAAAGGTACCTCCTTCTTTGATGACCTGTTCTTTCCACTGGGATCTCACTCGCAGAGATCTTTTGCCAGAGTGTCTTGGCTTTCCATGCCTGAAATACTCTCATGAGCTTTTCAGCCAGCTCCGAATGCCTTTAGGGCTGATTCTGAGGCCAGAGTGCTATTTAGGACATCTGCCATTCTATGAGTCTGCTGAGTATCTCACTTCCCATGTTGGATCACTCTCCCCTTTATTTACTCCATCGGTTAGCGTTAGCAGGTACTAGACTTGTCTATGTGTTCCCTTTGACTCCCAGTCCCTTCACCATGACCAACTGTGAACTGAAACTGATCACCTGGAACAGTGAGATGGCATTGGTACATGCCACCTCGATGGGATTGAATTGGAATCCCCTGGTATGCTTCCAACTCCACCACTTGGGGCAAGTCAGCCTGAGCATGTCCCAAATTATACATCTCTTCCCTCTCCCATTCCCACCACCATGTTCAACAGGGATCACATTTCAGTTAATTTTCAACACTTAAGAATAACTGTGCATCAATTACAGATCTTAATCAGTCATATTAAGTAGAACAGATAAAAAAAACTACTAAGAGGGATAATGTATTAAGTTGTTCATTAACAGTCAGGGCTATGCTGATCAAGCCACCAATGGTGGCTTGAATATAATCTTCAGTAAAGAGATTTGGTTTTGTTTTCTGTTGTGTTATTTTGTTTAATAATATTTTACTTCAGCTTCCTTCAGGCAAAAGAAGAATTAAAGCAACTTAAACTCCCTGGGTTCATGTACAGTGATGTTCCTCTGTTGGCATCTTCAGTACCTTATTTTAGCATGGAAGAGGAGGATGGTTCTGAAAATGGAGTACATCTCATTGTCTGTGTGCATGGCTTAGATGGTATGTGACATCCATTGATGTGACCCATAGCAACTCAGTGTATTTAATCTTTGAAATGAAAGGCAATTTTTGGGTTGCTTAAACTATTTGAACCCTAAATACATTCTAAATTTACGATGCCTAATTTACTAAGTGTAATATTTGACCTATTAAGGACATTTTCCGTAGAAACACTCATTCCAATGTTGTACTTATGTTTTTTCTATTTTTCTGTTCTCTCTTATTGTTGCTTTTGTCAGCTGTTAACCTCATGGCAATTATTTTATCTCTTTTTGATAGTCTTCCTAGTTCCCTCTAACTTTGCTACTTTAAATGTTACAGGCTAGAAAAATCAATATTCCAAAAAATTAAAGGTTCATTAATTAATTTAGATATAAATTAAATTTTAAGTTCCTGGCTTCAGTGCTGTGGTTTTGACAACTATTATGTTCAATCAAATTTTTTTTCTGGATATATTTTTGCTGGATATATATTTTTTTCTGGATATATGAAGATACAAAGGGCCGGCACTGTGGCATAGTGAATAAAGCCACTGCCTGCAGTGCCAGCATCCCATATGGGTGCCGGTTCAAGTCCATGCTGCTCCACTTCCAATCCAGCTCTCTGCTATGGCCTTGGAAAGCAGTAGACAATGGCCCAAGTTCTTGCCTGGGAAACCTGGAAGAAGCTTCTGACTCCTGGTTGCAGATCAGCACAGTTCCAACCCTGGCGGCCATCTAGGGAGTGAACCGACCTCTCTCTCTGAAAAAAGAAGATGCAAATATCTAGATTAACAGGCTATTACAGTATTATAATGTGATTCTGTGAAAATATGATAAATTTATAGATAATAAAATACTAAGCAAAGGTTTATGCTGCTAAATCCTCATGAAGTTGAATATTTTTCTTTAAAAAAAAACAGACTAACCTTTCTACTTCCTCCTGAAATAATAGAAAGTTTAAATATTTCCTACAGAAGACTTGACCTAGCATTATCTTTGACAAATACTTCTTTGAAATTTTCAAGACATATTATTCCTGTCTTCTAGAGCAATAGAAAACATATGGAATGCACCCCATATTTTTCCTGAGAGTTAATCTAACTTTATTACCCAACTTTGTTATCAAGATATTGCACCAACACCCCAAAAAAACAATGGAACACTCTGACAATAAATATACTTAATGAAACTTTAGCAAATAGAATCAATATATTAAAGTACATTACTATGACAAACAGAATTGAATTCTGAGATTGCACAGGTAAGAACATTTTAAAAAATTTAAAAGTCCAGATAATAAATGATTGCAGGCTTTATACGTCTCTGTCACATACTTTTCTTTGTTGGTTAGGTTTTTTTCTTCAAAAATTGTAAGAACAATGTTTAGCTTGCAGCTCTGTACAAAAACAGGCTCCAAACTGGATTTTTTTTTTAAAGATTTATTTATCTATTTGAAAGTCAGAGTTACACAGAGGAGAGGTAGAGAGAGAGAATCTTCCATCCAATGGTTCACTCCCCAATAGGCTGCAACAGCCGGAGCTACACTGATCCGAAGCCAGGAGCCAGGAGCTTCTTCCAGGTCTCCCACGCGGGTGCAGGGGCCCAAGGAGTTGGGCCATCTTCTACTGCTTTCCCAGGCTATAGCAGAGAGCTGGATTGGAAGTGGAGCAGCCAGGACATGAACCAGTGCCCATATGGGATGCCAGTGCTTCAGGCCAGGGCATTAACCCACTGTGCCACAGTGCCTGCCCCTGCAACTGGACACAGACCATTTCTGGCTGACCACTGAGTATTTTTATATATGGGTGAGCCCTCACATTCACCATTATTTTGTTAAATCATTATAAGGGAGATTTGTGCACACCAGATTCCATGAGATCATGATCTCAACAGTTTCTCTCAAAATAGCATACATAATTTTGTAAAAAGACCTTGACGTGTAAATACCATGTGCTGTAACAGCTATGTATTTGCAAAACTGAAGTCTCATAAAGTTAAAAAAAGTTAATAAAATATACTGTATCAGCAAATCAAATAAGAAACTATTCAATACCCATTCCCAATTATGACAACTAAGCATAAAACTGCAAGCCTTAAATAGCACTAGAAATGCTCCTTTTAAATTAAATTTTTATTGTTAATAAACCAAAAGAATTAACTAAGTTAGTTTACTGAAATTAGTTTTTAGAAATCGTTTATATTTATATATTTTATATCTACATTATAAATATATTCAAGTAAATAGTTACTAAAATAAATTCCTTCAAATGTTTGAATGGATTTTTATTTCTCTCAGTCTGTACCAATACCATCAAAGAAAGTCAACAGATTAAATACAAAATGCATTTCAGGTTTGTTAACATTTCACCTAAAGTGGTGATGGTAGGGAATCAGTCATTTACAGCTAATAGAGCCACCAGTTAGCAAAATGATGGTTAATAGTTTGATAAACAAATATACTGTCAGGTGAAAAATGAAAACATCAATATGACCAAAACCTTCCGAGAAGCAAATTGTTAAAAAGACAGTGTTGGGGCGGGTGCTGTAGCATAGTACCTGCAGTTCCGGCATTCCTTATGGGCGCCAGTTCATGTCCTGGTTGCTCCACTTCCCATCCACCTCTCTGCTTTGGCCTGGGAAAGCAGTAGAAGATGGCCCAAGTGCTGGGGCCCCTGCACCTGGGTGAGAGACTTGGAAGAAACTTCTGGTTCCTGGCTTCCGACTGGCTGAGCTCCGGCCTTGTGGCCACTTGGGGAATGAACCAGCCGATGGAAGACCTGTCTCTCTGTCTCTCCCTCCCTCTCTCTGTAATGCTACCTCTCAAATAAATAAATAAAATCTTTAAAAAGACAGTGTCTAACTTATGGAACTCAGCTGTGGCTTAATAATGATGATGTGTTTATTTCAGAGCACATTGTTCACAAATGATGTAAGCTGTAAGCTTATTTCTAAAAATTATAAAAATGTATGATAATATACCTTTTACTTGATCTCATCCTTTTAAACATCATTTTTCATTTTCTAGGTAATAGTGCAGATCTTCGCTTAGTAAAAACCTATATTGAGCTTGGACTTCCTGGGGGAAGAATTGATTTTTTAATGTCTGAAAGAAATCAGGTAAAATTTGACAGTCTTTTCATAGGAGCAAAGTTTTTTTTTTTCTTTTACCAATTTATACCTTAATATTTGCTTCCTATAAAATGCTTGTAATAATAGAAATAATTTTCTCTAATTTCTGTGACATTTAACTTAAACACATGTACAAAAGCATGATTTACATTTTGACTTTAAAGTTTTTACATGAACTATTTCTAGAATTTCACAATTCTATACAACTATTTCAGCAATTAAGCCATCAGAAATAACTGTTTAATTCTGGTAACAGGCTAAAAATTTAAATAACCAAAGAAGCAACTGTTATTAGGACCACTGAATCTTTCTTTCCCTAGAAACTCATTCTTCTTGCCTATTTTAATATAATGAATATTAATATTCATTAACTTCCCTTTTAAGAAATTTAACTTTTTCAATACCTAAATTAAAAATAATGTTTTATGTGATTATACCTATTTCAGTATATAATGTATCTGTTTTGCTTTTGTTTAGAATGATACTTTTGCTGATTTTGATAGCATGACTGATCGACTTTTGGATGAGATAATTCAATATATTCAGATATATAGTCTAAACGTCTCAAAAATAAGGTAACTTCTATAATAGTTTAATTTTGTTTCTATGAATTATAAAAAACTAAACAATTTGACAGTGTATTATTTTGAAATATTAGAATCTGCAATTTGAGTTAATTTTTTAAAAATTTAAACATTTTAGGAAAAGATCATATTATGTGATTGATTAATTGATTGATTAATTTGAAATGTCCAGAATAAGCAAATCTATAGAGACAGCAAGTAGATTAGTGATTGGGTAGGGCTGTAGAAGATGAAAGGAATGGGGAGGGTGATAGCTAAAATATATAGGTTTTTCTTTTGAGGTGGTAAAAATGCTCTAAAATTCATCACAGTGATGATTTCAACTGTTAATTGAACTGTGCAGTTTAAATGGATAAATTATATGACATGTGAATTATACCTCAGTAAAATTGTTACCCCAAGAAAAGGTTACAGAGAAATGGACATATATTTCAAATATGTATGAAGGCAGGTCAAGAAGTTGATGGAAAATGGATTTAATAATAAGTTTCAGGTAGATGTTTTGTCATGCCCATGTCCCACATCAGAGTGCCTGGGTTCAGTTTCCAGCTCTGACTTTGTCTCCTGGCTCCACCTTCCTGCTAATGCAGACCCTGGGAGGCAGCAGTGATGGCTCAATTAACTGGATTCCTGCCATCCACTTGGGAGACCCTGGATTGTGTTCTTGGCGTTAGGTCTGTCCCAATGGCCCTTGTGGGCATTTGGAAAGTAAACCAAGAGATGGGTGCACTTGTTTTCTTTCTTGCTCTCTTGCTCTGTCTTCTCTCCTCTCTCCCCACCTCTCAAATAAATAAAAAGAAATTTTAAAATTGAAATAATAGTAAGTGAAAATGAGTTTATTTTGTTGAAAAAATTTCGAAATCCGTGCAAGCTTTTTCATAATACTCATTTTCTATGAATTTTTTTAAAATCACATATGCTTGTGTGTGTGTGAGAGAGAGAGAGAGAGAGAGGAGAGAGAGAGAAAACAAAATATTTGCAAAATTTCATGACATATATAAAAACGACATGAGTCAGTTTTCCACAAGCAGGCGATGATGGTCAAGTTAATGTCTCATTGTTTAATTAGATATTGTGAATAGTTAGGGAAGAAAGATGTCTCATGGGAATTAAAAAGACAAAACTGTTCTTCCTACTTCAGGAAAGTTACATAAACATTATATTCATATACAGCTAAGCTAGAAGAAGCAGCTAGCTCTGCTACAGTAAGCTTTTTAAACTTTGTTTCAAGTTTGAAATATAGAGAAGAGACATGCAGTATTTAGTTGAAGACATTTTCTAAGAACAGAATTCTGTTAAAATATGGGAGGAAGTGCTTATATATCTGAAGAAGAGGCTGTTTTCTTGTTCCATTTACTCTTTTCATGTCCTGATGTCAAAACACTTTTTTTTAGAATATTTATTTACTTATTTATTTGGAAGGCACAGTGATTAGGAGAGAGAGAGAGATGGAAAGACAGCTTTTCCATTCCCTGGTTCACTCCCCAGATGGCTACAGCGGGAACCTGTTTCCCACTTTGTGGTTTCCCACTTTGTAACAGGAACCCAAATCCGTTATCCACTCCTTTCCCAGGTGCATTGACAGGGAGCTGGATCAGAAGCAGAGCAGCAGGGACTCAAGTTGTCACTCTGCAAAGGGCTGCTGGCATTGCAAGCAGCAACTTAACCTGCTGAGCCTTAACACCAGCCCTTAATAAGCATTTTGATTGCTGAATTCTCTACAGCGATTCTGTATTACTTTTATTGATTTATTACTATATGATGAGAAATGATATTTCAGTTTTTTCCATTCAGTCCATGAAAGTAATTCCCTCTTTTAAATTATGCTGTCATTTATGATAATCAACTATCTGTTTTTCATTCAATCCATGAAAGTAATTCCCTCTTTTAAATTAAGCTGTCAGTTATGATAATCAACTACCTGTTTTTCCAAAAGCCTGATCTGGTTGATTGTAAACAATTACCTGCCATTGTAATTCCTATCCTGCAGCTTTAGGAATTTCAGTATGGAAGAGAAGTTGGCATGAGCTCTCACTAACCTATAACCCAGTGTTTAGACAATTTTTTTTTTTTTTTGACAGGCAGAGTGGACAGTGAGAGAGAGAGACAGAGAGAAAGGTCTTCCTTTGCCGTTGGTTCATCCTCCAATGGCCGCTGCGGCCGGTGCGCTGCGGCCAGCGCACCGCGCTGATCCGATGGCAGAAGCCAGGTACTTATCCTGGTCTCCCATGGGATGCAGGGCCCAAGTACTCGGGCCATCCTCCACTGCACTCCCTGGCCACAGCAGAGAGCTGGCCTGGAAGAGGGGCAACCGGGACAGAATCCGGCACCCCGACCAGGACTAGGAGCCGCGGCGCCAACCTAGAAAACTTTCAAGTTCTCTTTTCACTGTTAATTCTCCCCAGGGTTTCTTACATCATCTATCATAACATAATATAAGGAAACGGGCTTTTTGTTTTGAGCTATTCCTTAATAGAAATGAAGTGCTCTATATTATCACCTAGTGTTTTCTTTTAATCTTATAGTAGAAGAATGCATGTGTTTACCTATATCTCGAAAACATGAGTACTGTTAGTTGCAAAACTGTCCAGCTTTGAAGTATAGACAAGAGTGTTTGGTAAGAGGAACAGGTTCTCCTAAGTTATCCTTTATAAGTACAACTTCATTATTTTGTTTGAAATTATCATTTAACAAGCAAATGATTTGTGTCCCCAAGGATGCAAATTTATTGTCAATTCATTATATTATTTTATAAATGTTTTCATTACTAAGCATTTAGAAACTTTGAGCAAAATTTGTCAGATATTATCTTGTTTCTATAACCTTTTAATTTATACAGTAATAAAAATCTTACCTGCTTTCTTTTTTCCTTTAAAATGTAGACTATATCATTTTGAAATGTCAAACTATTTTAAACATAATGAGAATTTTTAAATTCTTAGCATTTTATATCTATGTATGGTATATTGGCTTTTATTTTTGTTATTAAAAAAGTACTGTGGGATAAATGTCTTGGTTTTTTGTTTTTCTCTTAAAGTTTTATTGGACATTCTTTGGGCAACTTAATAATCCGTTCAGTGCTTACAAGACCAAGGTTTAAATATTACCTCAACAAACTTCATACCTTTCTGTCTCTTTCTGGACCTCACCTTGGTACGCTCTATAATAGCAGCGCTCTTGTTAATACAGGTAAGTTTTATTCTATACAAAAAAAATATGGCATAGGGAGGAAATGTAAACACAAATTTAGCATTTTCCGATGTTTATGTTAGAGCCAGCCAGGCACATACGTGGAATTTCATGAGCAAAACATGCAGATAATTTTCTACTTTGCTATACACTTAAAATAAGCTAATAAAAGTCATTTCAGGAGGCCAGCACTGTGACATAGTAGGCTAAGCCTCCTCCTGCAGCATTGGCATGCCAATTCATGTCCCGGCAGCTCCTCTTCTGATCCAGCTCTCTGCTATAGCCTGGGAAAGTAGTAGAAGATGGCCTAAGTGTGTTTGGGTCCTGCCACCTTGTGGGAGACCTGGATGAAGTTCCCGGCTCCTGGCTGTTGTGGCCATTTGGGGAGTGAACCAACAGATCGTTCTCTCTCTCTCCCTCCCTCCCTCTCTGTGTCTGCAATTCTACCTCTCAAATAAATAAATAAGACCTTAAAAAATCATTTCTGAAAATAATTATTCTCAATGAGATGGCATTTGTCAATAGTTATAGCAGCATTTTCCCCTTAAGTTCTAAATGTTTGCAGTAAATATTTAACTTAAAGAAACTATTCCGTTATTTAATTAGTTGAGCAGCTAACTAATACCTATATTTGTTATAAAGTTATAAAATATTATGTAGAATATTGACTCTCTGGTTTGGTAACTTTAAAACCGATTATGAGAAAATAATATTGAAGAAATTGATCCAAATTTTCTAAAGAAATTAAAATGAAAATTAAGACCCTAATTTTGAAGATTCATAATGTTCTCATGGAGAAACAGTTGGTACTTGGTTTACCTTTTTGTTTGGCTTGATTTTTCCCTTAGATTTTTAAAAATGTTTCATTGTTGAGTCAGTTCATTTCCATTTGGAGAACAAATTTTATTCCATTCTGTCTCTTTTCATTGAGCTCTGAAATTCTTATATCCATTTCCTTTCATTGACAAACAAACCATATCATTTTCTTCTATATCTCATTTCAAATTGGTGATTTCAAAATATAGCCAGTTCTGGATTTTTGCAGCTTAAAAAAGAGGTGATAAGAAAAATGAAATCCTTTTATAATATGAAATAGAACCCAGCATGAATAGGATAATGTTTATAACTATCATATTTAATCCATGAAAGCATTTTTGCCATCTCTTTCTCCTGTTCCCCTTTATAATATCAGAAACAATGAAAGTGAAATGAATATTCCACAGTCTTGAAACGTGCTCCAGAGTAATGGGGATTTCACTTTATTTTCATATATACAAGGGGAAGGTACATTTAAATATGCCTTACTGATAATATAAAGAAATAGAATTAGGGGCAGGCATTTGGCACAGTGGTTAAGACAACTACATCTCAAATCGGTATGCCTGCATTCAAATCTGAGCTCCACTTCTAATTACAACTTCTACTAATGTGCACCCTGGGAGGCATCAGGTGATGGCTTAAGTATTTTGGTCTCTGGAACCCACATGCGAGACCTGTGTTGAGTTCCAGGATCCTGACTTTAGCCTGGCCCAGCCCTGACTGTTGTGAGCATTTTGGGAGTGAACCAACAGAAAAAAGATCCCTCTCTTTCTCTGTGTATTTGGTCTTTCAAATAAATTTTAAATGAATTTTTAAAATTTTAATGAAATACAATGAAATATGAAACTTAAGCTATTAGAAAGAGTTGGTCCTTTTACAATTAGTCTACCATAACTTAAGTATAATTATATAGACTGAAAACTCAGTCTTAGCATTTGGAACTACCACTGTACATGTAGTATTTAACCCTCTTTTCCTTTATAATATGGACAAATATATCTAAAAGTATAATTTTCCCAAATTTGTTCTTCATATGCTTTTGAGATTTGATTATTGTTTTTAGCTTTGTTTAAATTCCTGCGGAATTGTGTTTCTATTTATTTTACTTGTTGAATATTATGGTTTGTGGTGCAGCAAGCCTGTGCTTATAGAATGGACTGAAATTATGTTTTGCCAAAAATTTTTTAAAAGGAAGGAAGGAGGGGGATGAGGGACGGAAGAAGAAGAGAGGGACGTAAGGTCATCTTAGAGTTGTATCTATGAAATGTACAAAATCTGTTCTCTTTATATTGGTAAGAATTTTTGAAAGAAATAGCATTCCTTTCAACAACTACCATTAACCCATAGTTAAACTATGTGTATATGTATATGTTTATATTTGTTACTAGAACATGGAAATATTTTGAAAATATATTCATTATTAGCCAGAAAAATGCTAATTTGGCAAATGGCATGTTTTGAAGTAAAATATATATTAAAATTAATAACTTGTCATGTTATATATTCCACTTATACTGATATATCATGTATAACTCTCTAGGTCTCTGGTTTATGCAGAAATGGAAAAAATCAGGTTCTCTTTTGCAATTAACATGTCGAGATCACTCAGACCCTCGTCAAACTTTTTTATATAAGCTTAGTAATAAAGCAGGTAAGTAACAGCTTGGAAAACATGAACACAGAAACCTTTTTTTAAAAAAGCTGTTAGCAAATAAATTACCAACATGTCTTTCTGGTTTTCAAGAAGGTCTCAGTCTACTGCAGTTTCTTTTAATAGACTCACAACTGGGATTTGATGGAGTAGTTCTTTAACTGTTAGTGATTGTATTTATATTTTATGAACTGCACATTTTTTTCTTTTTTCCCCAAAGAAACCTTTTATTTAATGAATACAAATGTCTTAAGTACAACTTTAGGATATAGTTATTCTTCCCACCATACCTACACTCCCACCCCTCATCTTCCTCCCTCTCCCCTTCCAGTCTCATTCTCCATTAAAATTCATCTTCAGTTAACTTTGTGCACAGAAGACCAACCCTATACTAAGTAAAGATTTCAGCAATTTACATACACACACACACACACACACATACACACACACTGTTGGGAACAAGTTTTATAGTTAACTTTCATAATACAACTCATTAAGGACAGAGGTCCTGCATGGGAAGTTAGTGCACAGTGACTCCTGTTGTTAATTTAACAATTAACACTCTTATGTTTGACGTCCCTGACCTCCTGAGGCTCTTGACATGACCTTCCTAGCCTATGGAAGCCTTTTGAATCCACAAACTGTCAGTATTTAGACACAGCCATAAACAAAGTAGAAGTCCTCTCCTCCCTTTAAAGAAAAGTACATCCTTCTGTGATGGCCACTTCTTTCCACTGGGGTCTCACTCACAGAGATCCTTCATGTAGAACATTTTTTGCCACAGTGTATTGGCTTTCCATGCCTGAAATGCTCTCATGGGCTTTTCAGCCAGACTAGGATGCCTTAAAGGTCAGAATGCTACTTAAAGTGATTATCGTTCTATGAGTCTGTTGTGTGGACTGCTTTCCATGTTGGAACATTCTCTCCTTTCATTCTATCTATTATTATTACCAGACACTTGATCTATTTATGTGATCACTTTAACACTTGATCCTATCTATGTGTTCACTTTAACACTTAAGATGGCATTTTTACCACCCAGCTTAATGGGATTTGGGGTCCCTTGGCAAGTTTTTAATCTGTACCCTTAGAAGTAAGTCTGTAGTAATGTATGTAGAACTATACAGCTTTCCATTTACAAACTTCCTCCTTCCTCTCTTATTCTCACTCTTATTTTTAATGAGATCCAGCCTCAATTGACTTTATATACATATGATTAACTATGTTAAGTAAAAAGTTCAACAAATATTATGAAGAAAAAATAAAACTGTTCCTTGACAGTAAATACAAGGGCAGCTCTAGTCATCCTTTCTGGAAGTGTCAATTTTACTTTTACAGATTTCTATTAGATCTCACAGATCAGGGAGAACATATGGTATTTGTCCCTTTTGGAACTGGCTTACTTCACTAAGTATGATGTTTTCCAGATTCATCCATTTTGGTGCAAATGACTGGATTTCATTTTTTTAACCACTGCATAGTATTCCATAGTGTACATATCTCATAATTTCTTTATCCAGTCTTCAGTTGACAGGCACATAGATTGATTCTATGCCTTAGCTATTGTGAATTGAGCTGCAGTAAACATTGGGGTACAGATAACTCTCTTATTTACTGATTTCGTTTCCCTTGGGTAAATTCCAAGTAGTGGAATAGGTATCTCCATACTGTCTTCCATAGTGGCTTTACCATATTTTTCTATCTTCCATTTCCAGGACTATCAAGCATTTTTTGAAAATGTTAGAAATTAAACTATTAATAGTTATCCCTTCTACAGTTCTCACTACTGGATGAATATTATTCTTTATCCCTTAATAACTGATTATTAAGTATATTCCCTATCATATATGTTCTATGCTTTTACAGCCCAAAATCATTAAATTTTTAGTATTTTTTGTGAACAAAATAAATCTGGTTAAAGGTTTCAGAAATGTTACTTTTAAAAGAAAATTACCCCTTTTTTGAATAAGACATGATTTAAATATTCATTAAAATTTTATTGCAACTTTTGACCAAAACACCCTATGGCATTCATCAGATTTCTGATAGAATATATAAGTATTGTGTACAATGTAAAAATACTAGTATACTAGCATCTCAGTGTTGACTATCAAGGGAAAAAGAAAATGAAGTAGCCAGAGTGACACAGCAGGCAAAATGTGTGATATATATAGATTAGGTAACACCAGTGTTGAAGTAGACAAGACGTTACTAGAGTATAGAGAGAGATCATGGCAACACTTACATTCCTTAATTAGGGCACAGAAATGGCCGTAATATATTCATTATTGAAATTTTAAAAACAAAATATCCTTGTTTTAAGATTTTCCTAAAAACATCTGCATAAAATCTCTTTATCAGTAGATGAATTTTGACAAATAAAGTATAACAATTAAAGACATCTCCTACTGTGTTAGTACCATTCAAGATAATCTTTTTTCCAGTTACAGAAATGTTTCATAATAGATGTCACTTGATTTATAAAAATACTTATTTATAAATAATACTTATATTTTAATTCTGAAAGATAATTAGAATCAGCTAATTATTTTGGAGGTAAATTCTTTTGAATGTATTTAAAAGAAATTGCTAAAAATAAGAATAATATTGTTTAGAGTATGTCAGAAAGTACAAGATTTGTTCACTCTTAGCACTAATGGCATTCTGGAATGTATAGTTCTTTTGTTGTCAGGAATTGTCATGTGCCACTGTAGGATATTTTGCAGCATCTATGACCTCTATCCATCCTGTGCCAACATAGCAAACCATACCTTTCTGGTTTCCCACTTCTTGTTGTGATGAACAAAAATGTCTTCTTACATTTGGATCGTGTTCATCATGTTTAGAACCACTGCTTTAACCAGTTCCAGAGAGTAACCATAAAATGACAGCATGAATTGCTATAAAACTCAGTAAAATTTCAGAAAAAATTAATGGCCAAAGTGTCAAGAATACCAAGGATAAAAGTTGTTACTCAGGTATTTGTACATAAATGATGTTATTATATCAGCCAGAGAAACATCAAAGATTTATTTTAATCCTTTTCTTGGTATCTTGAAAAGTAAAGTGATTAAAACTATTTCCAGCTAACCCTTCTAATTCTGTAGATGGGGAAATCTTGTAACTTCTACAATTTAAAGGTAATTTTAAATATCACCTCAGGGGCTGAGTAAAATATTAACACTCTGTCCAGTGAACTGGGCTGTGTTTGAGCAGGCGGAATCAAGGTGGATACAGAGAATGACTCCCAAAATAAAGCCGTTTGACATTTTTATTAGCTGGACTTCAGCTCAGATGAGGTACTGCTGTAATTGCTGCCAGCATTGCAACTCTGGGGCCTGCCATGCTTCATTTTTTTTTCTTTTGTTTATTTGACAGAGTTATAGATAGTGAGAGAGACAGAAAGGTCTTCCTTGCGTTGGTTCACCCCACAAATGGCCGCTACGGCCAGCGCTCTGCACCGATCCGAAGCCAGGAGCCAGGTGCTTCTTCCAGGTCTCCCATGCGGGTACAGGGGCCCAAGCACTTGGGCCATCCTCCACTGACCTCCTGGGCCACAACAGAGAGCTGGACTGGAAGAGGAGCAACCGGGACAGAATCCGGCGCCCATATAGGATGCCAGCACCGCAGGCGGAAGATTAACCAATTGGCCATACTTCATTTTGAGTTTCTGTCCTTTCTAGCCAATACTGCTAGATAAGAAGTTGAAACCAAAAGATTCAAAATGGGCCATATGCAACTATATTGGCCTTTAGCTAATATAAAAAGTAAAACTGTGTGAAAAGAACAATGCTGGTATTGATACATTTTGGTTGAGAAATTTTTAAAGGCCGGTTCCCGGCTCAATAGGCTAATCCTCCTCCTGTGGCGCTGGCACACCAGGTTCTAGTCCTGGTCGGGGCGCTGGATTCTGTCCCGGTTGCCCCTCTTCCAGGCCAGCTCTCTGCTGTGACCCGGGAATGCAGTAGAGGATGGCCCAAGTACTTGAGCCCTGCACCCCATGGGAGACCAGGAGAAGCACCTGGCTCCTGCCATCGGATCAGCGCAGTGTGCCGGCCTCAGCGGCCATTGGAGGGTGAACCAACAGCACAGGAAGACCTTTCTCTGTCTTTCACTGTCCACTCTGCCTGTCAAAAAAAAAAAAAAAAAAAGGATACAAAAAAAAGAAATTTTTAAAAGATTGATTACTAAGTATAAAATACATTTTTAAAATATGTGATTTAAGAGTTATGTTTAGAAATTAGACATTATAGTGTATGTTATGTCAGTATGAGAAATTTTTATTCAGTTTATTTCATCATCATGGTATCTGAAAGTGAAAGAATATCTTAGAAATTTTATCATCTAGTTAGTCTTGATTTTGCATAGTTCAGCTGAGCTGCCTGAACCTGAGGAGGTCCAGATACTTCCCTCTAGGACCTCCGAATAAAGCAGCAGTTCCCAATTTCAGTGTCCTTTCTCTGGAGAAGCATTCAGGATCTCTGCAAAGAGCTGCTAGCTTGAAGACTATATGAATGTGACTTTACCTGGAAAGATGTAGTATCTATTATTCTCATAGTATAAACTGTAGAAATAAAGCTTGTTAAAATCTTGATCAGTGGAGAATTTATGAAGAAACAGATCATGTAATCTGACAAATGCATGATTTATAGAGCATAGTTGAAGGTGACATCACGTTCTTTGTGTGTTAGTTTTATGTGTGGTACTGTCCCTGCTACATAACACAACCCAACAGAAAAAAGTAGATTAAAGATAAAGAAGTGACCAGAAGGCCGGCACTGTGGCTCAATAGGCTAATCCTTCGCCTTGCGGCACCGGCACACCGGGTTCTAGTCCCGGTCGGGGCGCCGGATTCTGTCCCGGTTGCCTTTCTTCCAGGCCAGCTCTCTGCTGTGGCCAGGGAGTGCAGTGGAGGATGGCCCAGGTCCTTGGGCCCTGCACCCCATGGGAGACCAGGAGAAGCACCTGGCTCCTGCCTTCAGATCAGCGCGGTGTGCCGG